CCATTTCTTTACACATATGCATAACAAAATAAATAATTAACAGATAAGTAGACATATGCAGAGTAAAAAATCTTCTTTCCGGCATTTTGTCCTATACATACATACAAACAAATATCTATAGCTTTAAAAAAAGAAAGAAAGAAAAATATGTATAGCTTTTAGATGTAATTCTCATATGTCTTTTTTATGAGTTAGTGTTGAAATCATGAAACAAGGCACCAACAAGATAGAATTAGAAATCTTGCAAGTATTATGATGAGAGGGCAACACAAAGAAAAACACAAGCTCGCAAAAGTGTAGGAGTGTATCTGTATATGCACGAACAGAGCATTCAAAAGGTCATACCCAAATCTGTCCCAATAGTATGCCAAAAGGCGTATTATTATAGCATTATTAGGCCAAAGTTGCAGAATATACGGACTGTATTATGCCAAAATTGCAGAACATACGGACTAAAAAAACTGATAATTACTTTACCTTGAAGGCTTTGTATCCGATTGCTTCACTTTTGAAGAATGATTAATCACTTTACCTTGAAGGCTTGAACACGATGAAAACACCGTATGAGCATCTTCAATGGATTTCTACTGGTTAAAACAATTGTTTTAGAGATCAAATTATAAAAATTTGTTTGAGATGCTTCCCCAAACGGATTTTTAAAATTCAATTTTAAAAAATTGAGAGTTTTTAAAAGTACTTTACCTTTTTTAAAATAAATTTTTGAAAGATTAAAAAATGGATCAATCGGGTTTCGTGTGGGCGAAAAAACCGAACGAACATGGTACCAAATTGAGATTGATTTTTTCCATCGCAATGGTACCGAATCATTTGTAGTGTTTTTAAACGAGATTGATTTTTCCATGATGATTCGATATCAAACGAGATGAGACCGCGATGCAAAAAATTAAATTTGATTATTACGAGCCGAAACGTTAAAATCTATCTACTGAGTATGTCAAAAACTTATTGATTTACTTCATGTTACCATAAATGGAGTACTTCGTATTGTATTATTCCTTTTTTAATATTCTTTCATCATTATTGTTGCTATTATATTTATTACTATTATGAGCATTATTTATTGGAATTATTAATAACCCAATACTGTATGAATTGAAAAACAATCATTAGGTTTTTAATATTTAGGATCGTTATATTTTATTTTTTATGTTTAATTTTTTTAAATTCGAAGTCAATACATTTTTTAACAAAGTTATGTTTTTATACGTACATAATTTTACTTTTGTTTCATTATTATTTGAGTTATGCATGTTACATTTTTTGGCATAGTTTAAATTGTACTGTATCATTTCAAAATAAAATGATACCGAATTGAAAATCATCTCATACAAATATTATCAAATCATTTAAATGTAAAAATTTATAATAAGTTTTGACACTATGAAGCATCACGTCCATCCCAAATCAAGTAAAGATTCTACTCCGTATTTGTATTGATGTCAAGGAAAGGTGGCGATGTAGATGGGAAACTGCAAGATTTGCACAATTAAGGTTGCGTTATATTCGTCTGATCTGATTTTTTAAAGTTTTGATCTGGTCTGATTTGATCTGATTGGATCTAATATGATCTGATTAGATCTGATCCGATTGAATCTGATCTCATTTGAATTTGATTAAAATTAAAACTAAAATTTTTATTATAATTGTTACCCCTCCGTTCCACAAAACCCTTCCTCTTTCGTTTTTTTTGAAATCCCTAAAACACTTCCACTTTCTATTAAAAAACTACTTTTACCCTTACTTTTTCATACCCTACATATCACACCATACTTTTTCTCTAATAACCAAACTATCACATCTTACTTTTACCCATCACATCAGGGGCAAAATTGGAAAGTCAACCAAAATTACACTTTCCTTATTTTTACCCAAAGTCAAAAGTGGAAGAGTTTAAAGGAACGGAGGGAGTATAATTATAGTTATAATAATAATAGAAATATTAATAATAATAGTAATAGTAATAAAAATAATAATAAGATTAATAGTAATAGTAATAAGAATGATAGTAGTAGTAGGAATAGT